ACCTGAGAGGAGAGGAGTGGTCCCCAGGGCCCTAGCGCCCTCCCCGGTCTGTAATGTGGGGCTGGGGGCAGACCTGAGAGGAGAGGAGTGGTCCCAGAGGCCCCAGCGCCCTCCCCGGTCTGTAACGTGGGGCTGGGGGCAGATGTGAGAGGAGAGGAGTGGTCCCCAGGGCCCCAGTGCCCTCCCTGGTCTATAACATGGGCCTGGGGGCAGACATGAGAGGAGAGGGGTGGTTCCCAAGGCCCCAGCGCCCTTCCTGGTCTGTAACGTGGGGCTGGGGGCAGACATGAGAGGAGAGGTCCAGAGCTGCCCAGTGAGGGGCCCACAGTGTGAGTGATGTCGCAGTCGGGCCTGTTCTCTCTGCAGGCGCAGCGTCTGAAGGACACTCTGCGATGGTCTACAACCCGCTGGCCTGGACGGTCACCACCATTGTCACCCTGACGGTTGGCTTCCCCGGAGTCCTTGTCACAGATGAGTCGGGCCGCCCGGTGCCTGCACAGGTGTGGGCCAGAAGCCCCTGAGGGACACAGTTACACACACATGTAACCTCCCTGTAAGGGGGAAACTGGGCTACACACTGCTGGAGGGGCAGTGCTGGGCCTCTACCTCAGGTCAGGACGAAGCCTTGGCTACACTAGGGGTGAGACAGCCCTGCCCCCGCTAAGATGCTCAACAAGGCGCCTGCCCACATAGGGTATCTGTGTGACATTGGCCAGCCCAGTTCCGGGGGGAGACCTGAGGATATCCCTCACTCAGTCACAAACACTTGCAGGCCTGGGTCTGGGCCCGACTTGAACTGGTGACCCCGGCATGAGTGAGGCCTGGGTCGGTGACCCAGATTTGCCTAATGCAATATGTCATTAGATTTCTCAACTGCTGCTTCCAGGAGTGTTGACTGTGGATCCGAGCAAAATGTAGTCTTTGACAACACTAATCTTTTTTTTTGTTTATACTGATGTTTACTGGCCCAGGGGTGAGGACTTTTGTTTTCTTTGGGATCTGGTGTATTCTCACAGTTAAGAGGTTTGTGGTTGTTAGATGCCATTGAGTCAGTACTGACCCATAGCGACCCTATTGCACAACAGAACATAAAACTGCCCACTCCTGGGCCAACCTCAGTACTGTTGCCACCCTTGAGCCCACGGATGCTGCCACTTTGCCAATTCATCTTGCTGGGGGTCTTACTCTTTTTCTCTGACCCTCCACCTTACCAAACATGATGTCCTTCTCCAGTGACTGGTCCCTCCTGCCAATATGTCCAAAGTGGGAGAAATGAAGTTTGGCCATCTTGACCTCCAAGGAGCACTCTGGCTGTACTTCTTCCAACACAGATCTATTTATTCTTTTGGCAGCCCATGGCACTTTCAGTATTCTCCTCCAACACCATAACTCAAAAGCATCAATTCTTCTACGGTCTTCCCTATTCACTGGCCAGCGTTCGTTATTGAAGTTAACTCCTAGATAAGAGGCTAGAAGTTAAAATCCATGGACTCTCAGGGTTTCCCTCTCTGTCCACTCAGGGAAACCTGGTCCCAGCCTCTCCATGTTCTTCCTGGTGTTGGCAATCTCCACGTGGCATGAATTTTCCCCTCTGTGTATGCTACCTAATCTGCTCTCCATCGATCTCAGAAGGGAGCAGGATGGAGACACACTCTACCCTGGGAAGACTTCATTCATAAAGCAAAGAAAGCCCTGTTCCCAAATGGAGTTAATCCCACAGATAGAGGAGTGAGCTTTCCAGCACATATTTTAGGGTGACATATTCAATCCCTCTCACCCTCCTTTGACTTATGAGTGGAAGAGACTTGCGGTGTTCCCTCTGCATAGGAGAAAGCTTCAGTTCCACAAAAGGTTCCCTGGGGGCCTCAGAGTGAGGCCTGGCAGAGGGGGAGGCTACAGGGAGGGAATCCAGCACAGCCCGAGAGACGGGGATGGTGACATCCTCAGATACAGTCAGTGTGGCTCACAGGAGGTGTGCGGCTGACGCCCTCAGATACAGTGAACATGGCTCACAGGAGGTGTGCGGCAGAGGGAACCCTGAAATCCATTATTCCCCTCCATCCCGCTGGCCTTGCAGATCCAGAACTCTACAGCGACCCCATCCGCATACGATCTGCATATCTTGACCACAATCCCGGGCCTCAGTTACCAACACTACCGCATCAGACCCACCACACGGGTCCAGGAGGGTGTGCGGGAGCCAGCCGCCACTGTGGCCAGCACCACCCAGTTTGGCCGCAAGCTCAGGAGACGCACCAGCTCCAGGGACCGGCATCTGGTGCCCGTGGTGAATGACTGCTACACACTCTTCATGGACCCAAACACCAACCTGATGCACAGCATCCGGGAGAGGTAAGGTGCAGCCAAGGCTGCCTCTGAGGCAGAGGGATGCCTGGGGAACTGGACAGTCAGCCCAGCTTGAGTCACCTGCTCGGAGAAGACCAGGTGGGGCTGTAGGCACTTCCCTGTTACAGTTTTCACGTCCAGGAATGTGGTTCAGGTATAGCCTTTCATGTAATTTTTAAGTCCAGTTGATCCATAGAAAAGGGGTCATTGAGGAAGTCTGGGAGGGGAGAGGAAATGTAATGTTCAGGTCCCATGTGTTGTGTGCTGTTGAGTCCATTCCAAATCACAGAATCCTGTAGAGGGTTTCTGAGGAGCAGCTGGTGGATTTGGATTGCTGACCTTGCCTTTAGCAGCCCAGGGCTTATCCATCCTATAGTGCCATACCAGGATCCCATAAATCTATGCTGAGTTAATAGTCATACTGGTTTGTGTGACTTTGAGGGTGAAGGGTCCTTGGAAATCACCTAATCCAGTTCACCCACTAAACCATTCAGCCACCCACCCACTCACCCATCTGTCCACCCATCCAGTTACCCATGTGTCCAGCCACCCATTCCCCCACCTGTCCACACACCCACCCACCCATTCATGGAGTCATACCCTCAGCAGGTCTTTGTTGATAGTAGCAAAGACCACTGACCACCCAGGACAGGCTCCCTACTGGCTCCTGGCCAGCCAGTCCTTTCTCAGACTGCACCACCCTCCCCCCCACATCCCATGAAATGAGTAGACCACGTGCCCCTTCTCAGTCTGCCTGGTGTCCTCTGCAGATAGACCCTCTCTGGGGCAGGCTGCACCCCCATCAGCCTCTGTCCTCTGGTGATCTGGGGTCCAGTCACAGGCCGCATTGGTTGCTGGGTGGGGTTCAGTGGGCTTGATAGGGACCAAATGTAGGAGCTTCGTCATGCGGTCCTGGGTCCTGGGACTGGGCAGGTCTCCTGACTTGGTTCTCTCTGCAGCTGGAGGAACCGGACCGTGCACATGACCCAGGAGCTCCTGGAGTACCACGCCAATGGTGACGTGAAGCAGGGTCCCATTTCTGACAACTACCTGTTTGCAGCCCACCAGGCTGCCCTTCCTGCCTGGGGTGCTGTGGGGATGGAGATCATGACTGGGAAGCTCCTGACCGAGGTCCGGCAGTACTTCTACAGGTGAGCACAGTGGGGACACGGCCAGCAGTGGGAGGGACACAGCTGGCTCTGGACATGGATGGAGGAAGACACTCTGGTCTCTGCCAGTCCTACTGAGACTCTGTGGTCAGTCATTCTGCTTAGGAGATGGGCTCAGGGCTGGGAGAGAGACCCACACACAGAGGAGTAATCAACACCAGGACCCAGGCCCTCCCTCCCAGTGCTCAGTGT